CCTTGTTTAGGCCTTGAAAAAATATTCTTTAAAAAATCCACGTTTATTTGTTACTATTTTGTATACACCGCCTAAAAGTATGCAACCTTTTATTGAAAATTTTCTTCTTGAGTAATGTTCTTCAAGCGTTTTTATTGCCATCGCTTAGTTGCAAAATTGTTAACGATTTTGTGTAGGTATATATTATATCTAGAGATTTCTTGTATTCTGAGACCCCTAGTGAAATTTGCTGAAGAATATTTTTTTCATTGACATAATCTGGCAAAAATGCACGATTATGGGTCAATTGGGCGCATTTACGAACACCGTGAAAAATTGCATTGTAAGCTATTTTTTATGATTTAATATTATAGCTACGGATTTCTTGTGTTCCGAGACCTATGGTGAAATTTAATGAAGAATATTTTTTTCATTGACATCATCCCGCTAAAATGTAAGATTATGGTTAAATTATGGCCATTTACGAATAGGGTAAAAAATCGCATATAAATAAAGCTGACTTTCATATATCCAAATTGTAAGCGATTTGTTAGGTATAAATACGTAAGCTAGGCATTTCTTGTGCTCCGAGTCTTATAGTGAAATTTGATGAAGAATATTTTTTTCATTAACATCATCGCGCTAAAATGTAAGATTATGGGTCAATTAGGGTAATTTTCGAATATGGTGAAAAATCACATCTAGATAAAGCTGACTTTCATATACCAAAATTATAAGCTAATTTTATGGTTTAATATAATAGCTACGGATATCTTGTGTTCTAAGACCCATAGTGAAATTTGATGCGGAACATATTTTTCATTAACATTATCCCGCTAAAATGCAGCACTAAGGGTCAAAATGGCCTTGGTACGGAAAATATGTGAAAACAAAATGAAATAAGAGTTTTTTTAAATAAACCGAAATTTTTAGCAAATTTTAAGGTAGATATAATAATGTTAGAGGTTACTTATGTTCCGAAGCCTATCCTGAAATTTGATGGGGAATATGTTTTCCATAGACATCATCCTGCTAAAATGCCAGATTACGGGCTAATTTGACCCATATTGTAAAACCGCCGCCTAAAAGACCAAGTCAAATATAGTCAAATTGTAAGCGATTTTTTATGGTTAAATATTATAGCTGCGGATTTCTTGTGTTCGGAGACTTATAATAGAATTTGTTGAAGAATATTTTTTCCATTGATATCATCCTGCTGAAATGCAGGATTGCGCGTTAATTTGACCCATTTACGATTATCGTGAAAAAAAACGCAACTAATTTTAAATGTTTAAAATATGTTGGCCATATTTTAGATATATAAATGATAGCAACCGATTTCTTATGCTTCGAGACTTATAGTGAAATTTTATGAGGATTCGTTTTTCCACTGGCATCATCCCGCTAAAATGCAGCATTGCTGGACAATATGACCCTGTTACGAAAATAGGTATGGAAAACCTTTAAATAACACATGTCGTACTTATATCCAATTTCATCGCCATTTTTTATAAGCCCATGTTATAGCTAGGGATTTTTTCTGTTCCAGAACCCTTAGTGAAATTTTATGAGGATTGATGAGGATGCAGCATTGCTCGCCAATATGGCCCCGTTATGAAAATAGGCATGGAAAACCTTTAAATAACACATGGCGTACTTATATCCAATTTCATCGCAATTTTTTATAAGCCCATGTTATAGCTACGGATTTTTTCTGTTCCAGAACCCTTAGTGAAATTTTATGAGGATTACATTTTCCATTGACATCATTCCGCTAAAATTCAGAATTGCTGGTCAAATGGCCCTCTTAAGAAAATAGGCATGGAAAACTCCTTAATAAAACATGTCGTATTTATATCCAATTTCTTCGCAATTTTTCATAGGTCCATGTTACAGCTACTGATTTTTTATGTTCGGAGACCCTTAGTAAAATTTGATGGAGAATTTTCCATGGACATCCTCATACAAAAATGCAGTGTTGCGGGTCAATATGACCCTATTATGGAAAAAGGTATGAACAACTCCTTAGTACAACATATCGTACTTGCATCCAATTCCTTCGCAATTTTTCAGGGCCATTGTTAGAGCTACAGATATTTTGTGCTCCGCGACCCTTACTGAAGTTTGATGCAGAATATTATTTTCATTGACCCCAATTCGTTAACATGGAGTATTGCTGGTCAATATGCCCAAGTAACGGAAAAAAACGTCATAATAAAGCATGTCGTACTTATACCCAATTTCTTGGGAATTTTTTATGAGCCTATGTTATAGCTACCGATTTTTTGTGTTCCGGATTTCTTAGTAAAATTTGATGGAGAATGTTTTTTCCATTTACATCATAATGCTAAAATGCAGAATTGCTGGTCAATATGGTCCTCTTAGGAAAATAGGCATGGAAAACTCCTAAATAACACATGTCGTATTTATACTCAATTTCTTCGGAATTTTTATGGGTCCATGTTATAGCTACAGATTTTATGTGTTCCGTGACCCTTACTGAAATTTGATGGAGAATATTTGTTCTACTGACATCACCCCGCTGAAATGAAGTCTTACCAAGTAATCTGGCTCAGTTCGCAAAAATGTATGAAAACATCACTCCAAGAATATATATCCAAGTTCTTCGTAATTTTTAATTGGTTTATATTCTGGCTACAGATTTTTTGTATTCGGAGACTTATAGTGAAATTTGATGAAGAATATTTGTTTCATTGACACCAATCCGCTATGTAGTACTACCTATCAATCTGGCCCAAATATAAAAATCTTATAAAAACCCCAGCTAACAAAATTGTTTTCATTTTAACCCAAAATGTGTACCGATTTTTAATGAATATGTATTGCAAACACCGATTTTTTGTGTTCGGAAGCCTATAGTGAAATTTGATTAGGAATATCTTTTTCCTTGGTAGCATCTCCCTAAAATGAAATTTTACAGGTCAATTTGGCTCTATTGCGAAATAAGTCATACAACAGCCCCTAATAAAATAAGTCTTTGTTATATCCAAGTTCTTCGGAATTTTGTATGAGCCCATGTTATAGCTACCGATTTTTTGTATTCCGTGACCCTAAGTGAAATTTGATGAAGTATATTTTTTGCATTGACATCATCCCGCTAAAATGCAGTACTACCGATCACATTGGCCCAGATATCAAAACCTTAAAAAAAACTCCAACTAACAATTTTTTCTCATTTTAACCCAAAATGTGTACCGATTATTAATGAATATATATTACAACTACAGAATTTTGGTGTTCCGAGGCCCGTAGTAAAATTTGGTGGAGAATATTTTTCGCATTGGCACCATCCCGCTATAACGAAGTTAATGGGTCAATTCGGTTCTATTAGGAAAAAAAGTCATGAATAACCCTTTATTCAACATTTCTTATTTATATCAAAATTCTTATAGATTTTTCGGGTGTATATGTTAAAGCTACCGATGTTTTCTGTTCCGAGACCTTACTGAAATTTGATGGAGAATATATTTTCCATAGACATTATCTCGCTAAAATGCATTTTTGCGGGTTAATTTAATCCAATTGCTAAAAAGGCATAAAAACGCCATTAAGTGAAAAAATCTAATATATCCATATTCTTACCGACTTTTCATCGATATATTTACTAATACAGATTTTTTGTGTTCCGTAAAAATTTGATGGAGAATATTTTTCGCATTGACATCATCCCGCTATAACAAAGTTTTATGGATCAATTTGGTTATATTGCGAAATAAGTCATGGATAACCCCTTTATGCGAAATTTCATAATTTTATCCAAATTCTTAACAATTTTTCATGAGTATATGTTACAGCTACCGATTTTTTGTGTTCCGGTACCTTTAGTGTAATTTGATGCGGAATATTTTTTTCATTGACAGAATCCCGCTATAATGAAGTTTTCCGGGTGAATTTGGCTCTATCCCGATATAAGTCACGGATAACCTCTTAATACAGAATTTCATAATTATATCCGAATTCTTAGCGATTTTTTTGGGGTTCACGCTCCTATTACAGATCTTTTGTGTTCCGGAACCCTTAGTGTAATTTTATGCGGAATATTTTTTTCATTGACATCATCCAACTAAAATTTAGTTTTGAGGGCCAATTTGTCCTAATGGGGACACTGTATTAAAAAAAATCACTTTATAAAAAATGTATAATATATATTCACATTCCAAACGATTTTTCATGTATATATATTACATATACCGATTCCTTAAGTTCAGGAACCCATACTAGAATTTGATGAGGAAAATATTTTTCCTTTACACCATCCCGCTGAAATGAACTACTGTCCCTCATAATGGCCTAGTTTTAAAATCTCTTTTTAAAAATCCCATTTTTATTGATTCCGACTACTTATCGATTTTTTTCTTCTCCACTTCTATTACAGCTATCAATTTCAGATATTCGAAGAGTTTCAATAAAACGCTACGCGGAATGTTTTTCTACATTTTTAGTATTCCCCTTAAGTGCAGTTTTTCCCAAGAAATTTGGTGAATCAATGTAAGAAGAAAAGTAAATAAAAAACGTATTTTCACTCTAGACGATGAGTGAGTTGCAAATAAAACAAGAAGCCCAAGCCCGCCTGCCGATCATGTAAGTATCAAATTGAATTATTTTATCAGTACTTTCATCAAATAAAGAACCCAACAAAAAAACCTCCACTGAACTGAATCTAATTCAAATATACAAATGTATAGAGTTTTTCACTAATTGAAAAAAAGAGAGATAAGGAAATATGCACACATCGGACAGGTGTTAATAAATACCACCTACCGTAAGGTAGGGAAAAGTATTTGTTGGAATTTTCTTCTAAGAGTTGGATTGAAGTGATAGATCGCGAACCAAAATCGAAAGAATCGAATCGGAAAATATTAATTATTTAAATTATGAATAATTTCATATCCTTGATCGTGATCCTGTTGATAGTTATCTTTACTTCGGTTCGAGGTGGAGTACAAAATTTCGCGGTATCAATTCAGGGTGTAGATAATTCAATATGCCTGACGGGTCAAATGTATCATCCGGATCCCAGGGATTGTCGTTATTTTTTACAATGCAGTAATGGTGTGGCCTATAGGCAGCCATGTGCTCCGGGAACCTATTGGAGCCAGTATTATTTAACTTGTATTCGTACATCGCAGCATTGTGGACAAGGAGATGGTAGTAGTGCATCAAGCACCTCCTCAGGATTACCTACAAGTTCTACTACCAGCTCTACCTCCACCACCGAAATTTCTTCAACGGAAAGTTCTTCCACGACAAGCTCTACTACAGGGTCCTCTACAGTGACAGGCTCCTCTACAACGAAAAGTACTACCCAGGGAACTTCTAACCCTCCAGCTTCAAATATCTGCATTAATGGTCAAATATATTATCCCGATATTGAAGATTGCCGCTATTTTCTTCAATGTGTAAATGGTGTACCCTATCGGCTATCCTGTCCTCTCGGAACCTATTGGAATCAAGAGGTGTTAAGTTGCATACATTCCTCAGAGCATTGTGGAAATTCCAGTACAGTAACGACATCTACGACTTCAAACCCCACAACCAAAACAACATCAACTCCTATACCGACTTCAACTTCTTCTTCCGCTCCCACCTCGACCACTTCAAACACAACTTCCCCAACAACCCAAACAACCACCACGGAACCCACAGACTCCACCACCTCTGCACAAGCCAATACAACAACCACTGAAATCTCTCAAACCACAACAACTACCCCAAGCACTCCTTGCGATGATTGTGCCGAACTTCAAGCCGATCCGCATGATTGTCAATATTATTTGGAATGCCGTGAAGGAGAAATCGAGAGAATAAAATGTCCTGCGGATTTATATTTTCATCAACAAATTCAGGCATGCATTGTGGGTGAAGAACATTGTCTAAGTCCTGCCGTACCAACTTCTAGCCCCAAGATTTGCCCTAGCAAAGAGTTGTCATATCATGCGGATCCGGAGAATTGTCGGAATTATATACAATGCCTCAATGGAGTGGCAACAATTAAAAAATGTCTACCCTTTACCTATTGGAATGAAACGCTGGAGGCCTGTATCGTAGGAAAGTGTGGGAATGCTACAAATGGTGTAACAACGTCCTTAAGTGTAATGACGTCCAGAAATATGACATGTCTCAATGATCAGGTGTATTATTCTGATCCTGACAACTGTCATGACTATTTCCGTTGCGATAGTGGGCGATATTTCCCAAAAACTTGTGGTGATCTGTATTGGTCTCAGGATATTTCCAAGTGTACCACTTCTCTGGAACATTGCAACCTTCGATATTTGGCAGCAACAAACGAAGTAACGAAAAATACAACAAACAATTGCTTTGGTATCGAACAGTTCCATGGTGTTGCAAATAATACGAAAAATTTCCAACAATGTTGGCATAATCGAATTTATAATCTATCCTGTCCAGGTCACTTCGTTTGGGATAGTGGAAAAGGTAATTGCAGGAAATTGGAATGTGTGGATGGGTCGGAAACTACCAGCACCACTAAAGGACCTACCGAGACAACCACAGAAACTTCGAAAGAAACAACCACCACGGAGGAGAAACCCACAACAACTAATAAGCCCGATACTACCGAGACAACCACAGAAACTTCGAAAGAAACGACAACTACAGAATTTACGGAGATTACCACGACAAGTACAAATTCCGAAAATACCGAGACAACCACAACAACTAATAAACCCGATACTACCGAGACAACCACAGAGACTTCGAGAGAAACAACAACCACGGAAGCTACTGAAATTCCTACGACAAGTACAAATTCCGAAACTACCGAGACAACCACAGCAACTTCAGTAAACACAACACCCACTGAAGCATCTGACAACACAACAACCACTGATGAACCTCAAACGACCAAACCAGTAACGGATACCACCGATATCACCACGACATCGCAATCGGAAATCTCAACCACCACTACCCTAGATCCGGAATCAACAACGACGCCACCCAAGTTTTGTGGCGATGAAATCTCCTTCCACCCTGATCCCAATAATTGTCGAAATTTTATTCAATGCTTCAATGGAATACCAATTATTCTGTCATGTCCACCCCTTACCTATTGGAATAAAGATGAGGCGAAATGTCAACCAGGTACGTGTGAAAATAGTTCCTCATTGGAAACCACCACAAATGGTCTGGATCCAAATAGAGAGCAGACAACAGTAACGACTAAAGATAATACCGAGAGTACCGTGACATCATTTGAAACCACTACCGAGAAATCGGAGCAAGGAAGCACCAGTGATACCACAGAATCTGTAACTAACTATACAACTGATTCAACCCAAAGTCAGGGAGATGAAACTTCGCAAACTACCGGAAATTCTTTGGAGACTACCACCGAAAAGAATACCGAGAGTACCGCGACATCGTTTGAAACCACGACGGAACAATCGGAGCAAGGAAGCACCAGTGATACCACAGAATCAGCAACTAACTATACAACAGATTCAACCCAAAGTCAGGGAGATGAATCTTCAGAAACTACCGGAAATTCTTTGGAGACTACCACCGAAAAGAATACCGAGAGTACCGTGACATCGTTTGAAACCACTACGGAAACATCGGAGCGAGGAAGCACCAGCGATGCCACAGAATCAGTAACTAACTATACAAGTGATTCAACCCAAAGTCAGGGAGATGAAACTTCGCAAACTACCGAAAATAATTTAGAAACTAAAACTGCGGAGAATACCGAGAGTACCGTGACATCGTTTGAAACCACGACGGAACAATCGGAGCAAGGAAGCACAAGTGATACCACAGAATCTGTGACTAACCATACTACTGGAAATCCTTTGGAGACAAGCACCGAAAAGAATACCGAGAGTACCGTCACATCATTTGAAACCACTACGGAAACATCGGAGCAAGAAAGCACCAGTGAGACCACAATATATGTAACTAACTATCCTAGCGATACAACCCAACATCATGAAGATCCCTCTTCACAAACTACGGAAAATACTTCAGAGACTACCACAGAAGAGACTACAGAGAGTACCGTGACATCGTTTGAAACCACTACGGAACAATCGGAGCAAGAAAGCACCAGTGATACCACGGAATCAGTAACTAACCATACTACTGGAAATCCTTTGGAGACTACCACTGAAGAGACTACCGGGAGTACCGTTACATTGTTTGAAACCACTACGGAAACATCGGAGCAAGAAAGCACCAGTGAGACCACAGAGTCAGCAACTAACTATACAAGTGATTCAACCCAAAGTCAGGGAGATGAATCTTCAGAAACTACGGGAAACACTTTGGAGACTACAACTGCGGAGAATACCGAGAGTACCGTGACATCGTTTGAAACCACCACTGAAAAATCGGAGCGAGGAAGCACCAGCGATGCCACAGAATCAACAACTAACTATGCTAGTGAAACAACCTTAAGTCAGGGAGATGAAACTTCGCAAACTACTGGAAATACTTTGGAGACTACCGCTGAGGAGAATACCGATAGTACCGCGACATCGTTTGAAACCACCACGGAACAATCGGATCAAGAAAGCACCAGTGATATCACAGAATCATCAACTAACTATACAACTGATTCAACCCAAAGTCAGGGTGATGAAACTTCGCATACTACCGGAAATACTTTGGAGACTACCACTGAGGAAAATACCGATAGTACCGTGACATCGTTTGAAACCACTACGGAACAATCGGAGCAAGGAAGCACCAGTGATACCACACAATCATTAACTAACCATACTACTGGAAATCCTTTGGAGACAACCACCGAAAAGAATACCGAGAGTACCGTGACGAAAACATCAGAGCGAGGAAGCACCAGCAATGCCACAGAATCAGTAACTAGCTATACAAGTGATTCAACCCAAAGTCAGGGAGATGAAGCTTCGCAAACTACCGGAAACAATTTGGAAACTACAACTGCGGGGAATACCGAGAGTACCGTGACATCTTTTGAAACCACTACCGAAAAATCGGAGCAAGGAAGCACTAGTGATACCACAGAATCTGTAACTAACTATCCTAGTGATTCGACCCAACATCAGGAAGATCCATCTTTACAATCTACGGGAAATACTTTGGAGACTACCACCGAAAAGAATGCCGAGAGTACTGTGACATCGTTTGAAACCACGACGGAAAAATCGGAGCGAGGGAGCACCAGTGATACTACAGAATCAGTAACTAACCATACTACTGGAAATCCTTTGGTGACAACCACCGAAAATAATACCGAGAGTACCGTGACATCGTTTGAAACCACTACGGAAACATCGGAGCAAGAAAGCACCAGTGATACCACAGAATCATCAACTAACTATACAACTGATTCAACCCAAAGTCAGGGAGATGAAACTTCGCATACTACCGGAAATACTTTGGAGACTACCACTGATGAGAATACCGATAGTACCGTGACATCGTTTGAAACCACTACGGAACAATCGGAGCAAGGAAGCACCAGTGATACCATAGAATCATCAACTAACTATACAACTGATTCAACCCAAAGTCAGGAAGATGAAACTTCGCATACTACCGGAAATACTTTGGAGACTACCACCGAAAAGAATACCGAGAGTACCGTGACATCGTTTGAAACCACTACGGAACAATCGGAGCAAGGAAGCAACAGTGATACCACAGAATCAGCAACTAACTCTACAACTGATTCAACCCAACATCAGGAAGATCCATCTTCTCAAACTACGGGAAATACTTTGGAAACTACCACTGAAGATAATATCGAGAGTACCGTGACATCGTTTGAAACCTCTAGGGAACAATCGGAGCAAGAAAGCACCAGTGAGATCACAGAAACGGAAGCAACAACACCTGAAAATCTCGCATCGGGAACGACAAATTCCACGGAATCGATAACAGATTTTCCAACTGACAAGAATTCCGATTCTACAACACAAAATTCAGATCATGGATCTTCTCCTCCAACCACAACAACCGAAATTTTCTTAGGAATTAAAAAAGAACCCGAATCATCAAATACCACGGAGGCGAACAACTTTTCTGAAACGACTACCAACAGTTCGGACTATACAATAACGGAAGCAACAACACCTGAAAATCCCGTCTACGAATCCACAAATTCCACGGAACCATTGACTGATTTGCAAACTGAGACGAATTCCGCAACTACAATTCAGAATTTAGGTGATAAATATTCTCCAACTCCAACAAACGAAACCTCTTTAGGAACTACGGTATCCGAACCTTCAAATACCACGGAGACAAATAACTTTTCAGAAACTTCAGCCAACAATTCGGTTACAACACCTGAAAATATTGAATCGGAAATGACAAATTCTACGGAAGCGGTGACTAATTTGCAAACTGAGAAGAATTCCGAAAGCGATTCTCATTTAACTGAGCAGAGTAACTCCCAAAGAATAACTACCTATAGTTCGGTAACTGGATCTTCAGACTACACAGAAACAGAAGTAACCGATTCTCAAAAGGAATCCGCAAATTCCACAGTAGCTGTAACTGATTCCCAAACTGTCATGAATTCGGAAACAACACTCAATCACGTATACAAACCTTCTGATACTGCGAAAGAGGATTCGCAAACCGATAGCAATTCTCATTCAACAGAACCGGATAACTCCACAGAAGCAATAACCCATAATTCGAAAACCGTAGGGACAGAAGTAACCGATTCTCCAGCAGAAGCTGTAACCGATTCCCAAATTGATACTTCGAAACAAACCGATAGCGATATATATTTAACTGAAGCGAATAACTCTTTAGGAACAACTACCAATAATTCGGTAACTGCAACTTTAGGCTCAGCGGAAGCAGAAGTAGCCGATTCTGAAAGTGAAAAAGCAACAAATGATATCGAATATCAATCTCCAAATTCCACGGAAGTTGTAACAGATTCTCAAAATCAAACTTCAGATACCACGAAATCAGATCCCTTAACCGATAACAATTCACATGCAACAGATTGGAATAACTCTACAGGAGGTATCGAATATCAATCTCCAAATTCCACAGAAGCTGTAACAGATTCTCAAAATGAATCTTCAGATACGACGAAATCATATTTCTTAACCGATAGCAATTCACATGCAACAGATCGGAATAACTCAACAGGAGCAAATACCAACAATTCAGTACCCGATTATCATACTGAATACAATACGGAAGAGGTAAATGTTACTCAAATCGGCAACAGATCGGAAATAGCTGACAATTTTACATCGGCAACTCAAAGACCGAATAACTCTACAGGAGCAAATACCAACAATTCAGTACCCGATTATCAAACTGTATACAATGCGGAAGAGGTATATTATACTCAAACCGGCAACAGCTCGGAAACAGCTTACAATTTTACATCGGAACCTTCCACAGAAGCTGATTTCCAAATTATTTCCCGCAAATTGAACTCGGATGAAATACCACAAATCGAGGGAGATGACATGGTGCCCACTGCAATTAAAGAGGGCAAATCTTCAAAAAATGTAATGAGACCAAATCTTAGCGGAAAATCAGCACCCGAATTAATATGTTCCGAGGCTAGCGGTATATTTTTACCCGATCCCAATAACTGTAGGAATTATATACAATGTAATGGTGAGGGAAAGTTCGTAATCAATACTTGTCCCGCCAATACCTATTGGAATGAATTCGTAAATGCATGTATAATGGGTGAATGTGAAATGTCGGATGATCAAATGTAACATGTGATCCCTATTAACGGAATGTGTAAAAACGGTCAGACGTGATTATTTTTTGTATGCAGTGGAGTAATCTAAAAATAATAAAAATAATCGGTATTGAATGCAATTTGAAAGAAATTATTTTTCGGGGTGAATTTGAAAAAAATGAAGCCATCAATAGGTCGTGGATTTTTTAAAAATTATTTTTTCAAGCTGAATATTTTTTATTTTGATTTTTTTGAAGTGCAATTTGTTGATATTTTAAAGGTATTTTTTTTAATTTTTTAAAAAATATTTTTTGTAGATTTTTTCAAGAATCTTTACAGGTTTCATTGGTATCGATAATACATTTCTTGGAGGTGGCATTGAAATAATAACCCGTGGGACACTGACCTTCATAGGCTATCTTATTAAGGCAGACATAATATTTATAGCACTTAGGATGGGCCATTTTTACACCTTCCATGGCAGTCGTACATACCGGTTCACGTTCCAAAACATTTCCATCGTCCGTTGTACAAAATCCGGGAACACAAATACCCTTTGCCTTATCGTAATATTCATTGAATTGACAGGATTTCAAGAATATTTCTTCATCCTGGCATTCGTAGTATTGGTGACAGTTGTGAGATTCAAAACGTAGACCGTTCTGCTTATTTTGGCACCATTTGCCAAATGGCAAACAATTGGCCTCAATTGCGGGAAGACATTTTCCCTTGTCGCTGGAATAATGTTGATTTGCCGGACACTCTATGGCCAGGGGCTGGGCCATGCAAATATAATAGGTTTGACAATCCAGCGGAACTTTCTCCAGCGTTGGCTTGCCATTGCAAATTGTCGGTGTGGGCGGGCAGACTCTACATACTTCAAAAGCTCTATCGAAGCACATGCCATCTCCACAATCACCATAATAGGGTGGATCAACAAGACACACCACAAAATGCTGCGAATCTTGAGGGTAGGGGATGATGTCTTTTTGGGTATTTTCACAAAGCTGTGGGAAGGTTGGTTTTCAGAAAAAAAAATATATATTTTTTTCAATTTAACAAAATATTCAACCATTTACCTCGGCAAGTTCCTTGTAGTTAGGTATGACAGCCGGTTTTATCGGAGTACTATTATCTTCATTGTCCTCTGACACATTTGAATCGATTTCACCTTCTATACCATTTGAATCCGATTCTCCAGTCTGCTGCTCATTTGAGTCACCTAATACAGCAGTGCAAAATACAAGAAAGAAGACTACAAGCTGCAGATATTTTATTCCCAACATTTTGTGATTTTGGTTTTCGACTGATTTGAAACATCGATTTGGCACTAGGTTTTATAGGTCTCCAAAGATTGAGGGGGTGTTTTAATTTTCTGCGAAAAAGCAGACAATATTCGATATCTCAATTCTGTTACAGATAATTAATTTGCAGTCAGGAGATAATGTTTTTAATTTTTGGCAAATATTTTGCAATTTGCTACAGTGGCTCAAAGCCACAATAAAGCGAGGAATAAAAAGAAAATATTTTTAAAAGATCCCAAAGTCATGGAATTTTTAAAAAATATTTTTTAAGCCGAACATAAGGCGTGGATTTATTAAAAAATAACTTTTGAAGCTACCATAAGGCGTGGATTTAGTCGGATATCAAATTAGAACTTTCAATAATTATAAATCTGAATCTTCCTCTTTAATTTTTTTATTTTAGTTCAATATACCGACTACTTTGACTACTATGGTCTGTAGAAAGTGATTACCTAAATTTTCTTAAAACTACATAATTTCAAGCACTTGTATATATATGCAGATATCTTGGATATTTCATCAGATATATTAACGCATCTGAATTTGATCTGAAAGCTTAGACTTCCATCTTTTAAAATCAAGTTATTTTAGTTCATTGCACCGACTACTTCGCATTGTATGGTCTTCAGAAAGTGATTACCTACGATTACTTAAATTTTAAAAATTTAAAGCACTCGTATTTATCCCGCAAAATCTCGGGTATTTGTTAAGCAATACTAGCACAACTAGGTTCCATTTAAAGTATAGACTCCCTTCCTTTAAATCCAATCAATAATGGTTCCATACACCGAGTACTTTGGAAGTTATGGTCGAAATTAAGTGATTACTCAAAAATATTCAAAATGTTGAAAATTTAAGTACATGTATATTTTTGCCATTATCTTTATGGATTTTGTCAGATATCAGAATGTAACTACTAATAGTTTAAAACCTGAATTCCCATCTTTCAAACGAATGTTATTTGAGTACAAAATATCAACTACTTCCAAAGTTATGGTCTGTTGAAATTGGTTACTTAAATTTTCATAAAACTGGATAATTTCAAGCACTTCTTTATAGTTTCCGATATCTTGGTTATTTGATGGGCAATATAAACAAATCTGATTCTTATTTAAAACATAGACTCTCTTCTTTCAAAATCCAGTTATTTTAGTTCATTGTACCGAGTACTTCCAATGTTTTGGTCTGTAGAAAGTGATTACCCATAATTATACAGAATTTAGAACATTCTAGTACATTTATATTTTTGCCGATATCTTTGTGGATTTAGTCAGATATCGCAAAATAACTTGCAGTAAATAAAAGTGTGAATCTCCATCTTTCAAACGAATGTTATTTGAGTACAATATACCAACTACTTCGATAGTTATGATCTGTTGAAATTGGTTACTTAAATTTTCATAAAACTGGATAATTTCAAGCACTTCTATATATTTTCCGATATCTTGGTTATTTGATGAGCAATGTAAACAAATCTTGGTTTCGTTTAAAGCATAGACTCCCTTCTTTCAAAATCAGGTTATTTTAGTTCATTATACCCACTACTGCTTATATTATGGTCAATATAAAGTGATTACTCAAAAATATCCAAAATTTTGAAAATTTAAGTACGTGCATATTTTTGCCGATATCTTTGGGGTTTTGATCAGATATTCCAATAAAAGTTTTCCTTATGTGATGTTTGGATCTCTCTCTGTTAAAAACCATTTATTTCAGTACAATATACCGATTACTTCGAAAGTTATGGTCTGTAGAAAGTGGTTACCTAAAATTACTTAACATTTGACGATTTCGAGCACATGTATCTGTTTTCTGATATCTTGGGTATTTGATGAGCTATATGAACACAACCTGATTTTATTTAAAGTATAGACTCTATTCTTTCAAATAACCAGTTATTTTAGTTCCATATACCTACTACATTAAAAGTTATGGTATGTCAAAAGTGATTATTCAAAAATATCAAAATTTTTGAAAATTTAAATACATAAATAGATTTGCCGATTTCTTTGGTAATTGGATAGATATCGGAATAAAACGTTAAATTAGTTCAATATAGGGAGATTCATCTTTCAAAAATAAATGCTTTTAATTTAATATACCGAGTACTTCAAAAGTTATGTAGTATAGAAAGTGATTACCAAAAATTACTTCAACTTTGACAATTTCAGGCACCTGTATATATTCCACGATATCTTGGGTATTTCATTAGATATTTGAATTCAACTGGATTCTATTTGAAGTAGATACCTCCCTCTGTCAATGCTAACTTCAACTGGTTCAATGTACCGAGTAGTTCAAAAGTTATGGTCAACATAAAATGATTACTTAAAAAAATACCCGAAATTTTGAAAATTTAGGTATATGTAAAGTTTTGCCGAATTTTTTGGTAATTAGAGAGATATCGATATAAAACTTACTAATAATTAAAAGTGAGGATTACCTTCTTTCAAAAATAAAATACTTTAGTTTAATATACCGACTACTTCAGAAGTTATGATCTGTTGAAAGTGATTACCAAAAATTACTTCACATTTGAGAATTTCAAGCACTTGTATATATTCCACGATATCTTGAGTATTTCATCTGATATATGAATACAACTAGATTCTATTTAAAGTAGAGATCTTCCTCTTGCAATGTCAAGTTCAACGGGTTCAATATATCGAGTAGTTCAAAAGTTATGGCCAATATAAAATGATTACTCAAAACTACCGACAAATGTGAAATTTTAAGTGCGTGAATATTTCTGCCTATATCTTTGAGGATTTGATCAGACATCCGATGAAAACTTTTAACATTGAAAAATTGTGAATTTCCTTCTGTCAAAACCTTGACCATATGGTATCGATGTGCATTCAGGCATGGGTATAAAACCATTATCCTCCGTCTTACAGGTCTCCGATATTGGATCATATATGGAATTTGCCAAACATTCTGCATTCTGGGGTTGGCAAACCTTCCCGACACTGTGTTGGCGAAGAGGTGCCACACTGAGCACTTGCGGGATTATAATAGGTATTGGGCATACAAGAAACCAATACTGGATTACCATTTAAACACATATAATATTTGGAACAATCTGCAGGGTAGGTAATGGTGGATCCAGTGGATAAATCTGCACAAATATTTGCTGGAGTGGTGGTGGTGCTGCTAGTAGAGGTTGGTAGTTGGCAGTTGGTTTGGTGTAATGGTAGTTGTGGTGGAGGTAGTGGTCGAGGTGATTGGCATTTCGGTGGTACTACCATAAAGGCATGACTGAGAATTACCTTCTGAACTACACATCCCTTTTAGGACATCAAAATATTGTCCCTTCTTACATCCACCTAAATATTCTGTATTATTATAACAAACAATCTACAGCGCACAATTTGGCTCATAGGGTAACAGGGTATCATCTGGTTCATGCCTACACCTATTGTTCGATGGTGTGGTGGAAGTGGACGAGGTGGTTGGCATTTCGGTGGTAGTGGTGCTGGTACTAATAGGTAGGCATGACTGACCTTTGACCTTTGGTGACAACCACCGAAAATAATACCGAGAGTACCGTGACATCGTTTGAAACCACTACGGAAACATCGGAGCAAGAAAGCACCAGTGAGACCACAGAATCATCAACTAACTATACAACTGATTCAACCCAAAGTCAGGGAGATGAAACTTCGCATACTACCGGAAATACTTTGGAGACTACCACCGAAAAGAATACCGATAGTACCGTGACATCGTTTGAAACCACTACGGAACAATCGGAGCAAGGAAGCAACAGTGATACCACAGAATCAGCAACTAACTCTACAACTGATTCAACCCAACATCAGGAAGATCCATCTTCTCAAACTACGGGAAATACTTTGGAAACTACCACTGAAGGTAATATCGAGAGTACCGTGACATCGTTTGAAACCTCTAGGGAACAATCGGAGCAAGAAAGCACCAGTGAGATCACAGAAACGGAAGCAACAACACCTGAAAATCTCGCATCGGGAACGACAAATTCCACGAAATCGATAACAGATTTTCCAACTGACAAGAATTCCGATTCTACAACACAAAATTCAGATCATGGATCTCCAACCACAACAACCGAAATTTTCTTAGGAATTAAAAAAGAACCCGAATCTTCAAATACCACGGAGGCGAACAACTTTTCTGAAACGACTACCAACAGTTCGGACTATACAATCACGGAAGCAACAACACCTGAAAATCCCGTCTACGAATCGACAAATTCCACGGAACCATTGACTGATTTGCAAACTGAGACGAATTCCGCAACTACAATTCAGAATTTAGGTGATAAATATTCTCCAACTCCAACAAACGAAACCTCTTTAGGAACTACGGTATCCGAACCTTCAAATACCACGGAGACGAATAACTTTTCAGAAACTTCAGCCAACAATTCGGTTACAACACCTGAAAATCTTGAATCGGAAATGACAAATTCTACGGAAGCGGTGACTAATTTGCAAACTGAGAAGAATTCCGAAAGCGATTCTCATTTAACTGAGCAGAGTAACTCCCAAAGAATAACTACCTATAGTTCGGTAACTGGATCTTCAGACTACACAGAAACAGAAGTAACCGATTCTCAAAAGGAATCCGCAAATTCCACAGTAGCTGTAACTGATTCCCAAACTGTCATGAATTCGGAAACAACACTCAATCACGGATACAAACCTTCTGATACTGCGAAAGAGGATTCGCAAACCGATAGCAATTCTCATTCAACAGAACCGGATAACTCCACAGAAGCAATAACCCATAATTCGAAAACCGTAGGGAAAGAAGCAACCGATTTTCCAGCAGAAGCTGTAACCGATTCCCAAATTGATACTTCGAAACAAACCGATAGCGGTATATATTTAACTGAAGCGAATAACTCTTTAGGAACAACTACCAATAATTCGGTAACTGCAACTTTAGGCTCAGCGGAAGCAGAAGCAGAAGTAGCCGATTCTGAAAGTGAAAAAACAACAAATGATATCGAATATCAATCTCCAAATTCCACGGAAGTTGTAACAGATTCTCAAAATCAAACTTCAGATACCACGAAATCAGATCCCTTAACCGATAACAATTCACATGCAACAGATCGGAATAACTCTACAGGAGGTATCGAATATCAATCTCCAAATTCCACAGAAGCTGTAACAGATTCTCAAAATGAATATTCTGATACCACGAAATCAGATCCCTTAACCGATAACAATTCACATGCAACAGATCGGAATAACTCAACGGGAGCAAATACCAACAATTCAGTACCCGATTATCAAACTAAATACAAAGCGGAAGAGGTAAATGTTACTCAAATCGGCAACAGCTCGGAAACAGCTTACAATTTTACATCGACAACTCAAAGACCGAATAACTCTACAGGAGCAAATACCTACAATTCAGTACCCGATTATCAAACTGAATACAATGCGGAAGAGGTATATTATACTCAAACTGGCAACATATCGGAAACAGCTTACAATTTTACATCGGAACCTTCCACAGAAGCTGATTTCCAATTTATTTCCCGCAAATTGAACTCGGATGAAATACCACAAATCGAGGGAGATGACATGGTGCCCACTGCAATTAAAGAGAGCAAATCTTCAAAAAATGTTATGAGACCAAATCTTAGCGGAAAATCAGCACCCGAATTAATATGCTCCGAGGCTGGCGGTATATTTTTACCCGATCCCAATAACTGTAGGAATTATATACATTGTAATGGTGAGGGAAAGTTCGTAATCAATACTTGTCCCTCCAATACCTATTGGAATGAATTCGTAAATGCATGTATAATGGGTGAATGTGAAATGTCGGATGATAAAATGTAACATGTGAACCCTATTAACGGAATATGTAATAACGGCCAATCGTAATTATTATTTTTATGTAGTGGAGTAATCTTAAAATAATAAATGTAATCGGTATTGAATGCAATTTTAAAGAAATTTTTTTTCGGGGTGAATTTGCAAAAAATTAAGCCATCGATAGGTCGTGGATTTTTTAAAAATTATTTTTTCAAGCTGAATATTTTTTATTTTGATTTTTTTGAAGTGCAATTTGTTGATATTTTAAAGGTATTTTTTTTAATTTTTTAAAAAATATTTTTTGTAGATTTTTTCAAGAATCTTTACAGGTTTCATTGGTATCGATAATACATTTCTTGGAGGTGGCATTGAAATAATAACCCGTGGGACACTGACTTTCATAGGCTATCTTATTAAGGCATACATAATATTTATAGCACTTAGGATGGGCCATTTTTACACCTTCCATGGTAGTTGTACAGATCGGTTCACGTTCCAATACAGTTCCATCGTCCGTTGTACAAAATCCGGGGACACAATTACCCTTTGCCTTATCGTAATATTCATTGAATTGACAGGACTTCAAGAATATTTCCTCATCCTGGCATTCGTAGTATTGGTGACAGTTTTGGGATTCAAAACGTAGACCGTTCTGCTTATTTTGGCACCATTTGCCAAATGGCAAACAATTGGCCTCAATTGCGGGAAGACATTTTCCCGCAAAAGCTGTAACAGATTCTCAAAATGAATATTCTGATACCACGAAATCAGATCCCTTAACCGATAACAATTCACATGCAACAGATCGGAATAACTCAACGGGAGCAAATACCAACAATTCAGTACCCGATTATCAAACTAAATACAAAGCGGAAGAGGTAAATGTTACTCAAATCGGCAACAGCTCGGAAACAGCTTACAATTTTACATCGACAACTCAAAGACCGAATAACTCTACAGGAGCAAATACCTACAATTCAGTACCCGATTATCAAACTGAATACAATGCGGAAGAGGTATATTATACTCAAACTGGCAACATATCGGAAACAGCTTACAATTTTACATCGGAACCTTCCACAGAAGCTGATTTCCAATTTATTTCCCGCAAATTGAACTCGGATGAAATACCACAAATCGAGGGAGATGACATGGTGCCCACTGCAATTAAAGAGAGCAAATCTTCAAAAAATGTTATGAGACCAAATCTTAGCGGAAAATCAGCACCCGAATTAATATGCTCCGAGGCTGGCGGTATATTTTTACCCGATCCCAATAACTGTAGGAATTATATACATTGTAATGGTGAGGGAAAGTTCGTAATCAATACTTGTCCCTCCAATACCTATTGGAATGAATTCGTAAATGCATGTATAATGGGTGAATGTGAAATGTCGGATGATAAAATGTAACATGTGAACCCTATTAACGGAATATGTAATAACGGCCAATCGTAATTATTATTTTTATGTAGTGGAGTAATCTTAAAATAATAAATGTAATCGGTATTGAATGCAATTTTAAAGAAATTTTTTTTCGGGGTGAATTTGCAAAAAATTAAGCCATCGATAGGTCGTGGATTTTTTAAAAATTATTTTTTCAAGCTGAATATTTTTTATTTTGATTTTTTTGAAGTGCAATTTGTTGATATTTTAAAGGTATTTTTTTTAATTTTTTAAAAAATATTTTTTGTAGATTTTTTCAAGAATCTTTACAGGTTTCATTGGTATCGATAATACATTTCTTGGAGGTGGCATTGAAATAATAACCCGTGGGACACTGACTTTCATAGGCTATCTTATTAAGGCATACATAATATTTATAGCACTTAGGATGGACCATTTTTACACCTTCCATGGTAGTTGTACAGATCGGTTCACGTTCCAATACAGTTCCATCGTCCGTTGTACAAAATCCGGGGACACAATTACCCTTTGCCTTATCGTAATATTCATTGAATTGACAGGACTTCAAGAATATTTCCTCATCCTGGCATTCGTAGTATTGGTGACAGTTTTGGGATTCAAAACGTAGACCGTTCTGCTTATTTTGGCACCATTTGCCAAATGGCAAACAATTGGCCTCAATTGCGGGAAGACATTTTCCCTTGTCGCTGGAATAATGTTGATTTGCCGGACACTCTATGGCCAGGGGCTGGGCCATGCAAATATAATAGGTTTGACAATCCAGCGGAACTTTCTCAAGCGTTGGCTTGCCATTGCAAATTCTCGGTGTGGGCGGGCAGACTCTACACTTTGCAAAAGCTCCATCGAAGCACATGCCATCTCCACAATCACCATAATAGGGTGGATCAACAAAACACACCACATAATGCTGCGAATCTTGAGGGTAGGGGATGATGCTATTTTGGTTATTTTCACAAAGCTGTGGGAAGGTTGGGTTTCAGAAAAAAAATATATATTTTTTTCAATTTAACAAAATATTCAACCAATTACCTCGGCAAGTTCCTTGTAGTTAGGTATGGCAGTCGGTGTGGGCGGGCAGACTCTACACTTTGCAAAAGCTCCATCGAAGCACATGCCATCTCCACAATCACCATAATAGGGTGGATCAACAAAACACACCACATAATGCTGCGAATCTTGAGGGTAGGGGATGATGCTATTTTGGTTATTTTCACAAAGCTGTGGGAAGGTTGGGTTTCAGAAAAAAAATATATATTTTTTTCAATTTAACAAAATATTCAACCAATTACCTCGGCAAGTTCCTTGTAGTTAGGTATGGCAGTCGGTGTGGGCGGGCACCCTAAACACATTGCAAAAGCTCCATCGAAGCACATGCCATCTCCACAATCACCATAATAGGGTGGATCAACAAAACACACCACATAATGCTGCGAATCTTGAGGGTAGGGGATGATGCTATTTTGGTTATTTTCACAAAGCTGTGGGAAGGTTGGGTTTCAGAAAAAAAATATATATTTTTTCAATTTAACAAAATATTCAACCAATTACCTCGGCAAGTTCCTTGTAGTTAGGTATGGCAGTCGGTGTGGGCGGGCACCCTAAACACATTGCAAAAGCTCCATCGAAGCACATGCCATCTCCACAATCACCATAATAGGGTGGATCAACAAAACACACCACATAATGCTGCGAATCTTGAGGGTAGGGGATGATGCTATTTTGGTTATTTTCACAAAGCTGTGGGAAGGTTGGGTTTCAGAAAAAAAATATATATTTTTTCAATTTAACAAAATATTCAACCAATTACCTCGGCAAGTTCCTTGTAGTTAGGTATGGCAGTCGGTGTGGGCGGGCACCCTAAACACATTGCAAAAGCTCCATCGAAGCACATGCCATCTACAATCACCATAATAGGGTGGATCAACAAAACACACCACATAATGCTGCGAATCTTGAGGGTAGGGGATGATGCTATTTTGGTTATTTTCACAAAGCTGTGGGAAGGTTGGGTTTCAGAAAAAAAATATATATTTTTTCAATTTAACAAAATATTCAACCAATTACCTCGGCAAGTTCCTTGTAGTTAGGTATGGCAGTCGGTGTGGGCGGGCACACTATACACATTGCTAAAGCACTTTCGAAGCACATGCCATCTCCACAATCACCATAATAGGGTGGATCAACAAGACACACCACAAAATGCTGCGAATCTTGAGGGTAGGGGATGATGTCTTTTTGGGTATTTTCACAAAGCTGTGGGAAGGTTGGGTTTCAGAAAAAATATATATATTTTTTTCAATTTAACAAAATATTCAACCAATTACCTCGGCAAGTTCCTTGTAGTTAGGTATGGCAGCCGGTTTTATCGGAGTACTATTATCTTCATTGTCCTCTGGCACATTTGAATCGATTTCACCTTCTATACCATTTGAATCCGATTCTCCAGACTGCTGCTCATTTGGGTCACCTAATACAGCAGTGCAAAATACAAGAAAGAAGACTACAAGCTGCAGATATTTTATTCCCAACATTTTGTGATTTAATTTTTCGAATGAATTGAAATTCCGATTTGGCACTCAGTTTTATACTGTCTCCAAAGATTGAGGGGGATTTTTAATTATCTGCGAGAAAAGCAGACAATATTCGCTATGTCAATTCTGTTACAGATAATTAATTTGCAATCAGGAGATAATGTTTTTAATTTTTGGCAAATATTTTGCAATTTGCTACAGTGGCTCAAAGCCACAATAAAGCAAGGAATAAAAAAAAAAATTTTAAAAGATCCATGGATTTTTTAAAACTTTTTTTAAAGCGCTAGTCTACAGTTAGGCTGCATAGAATATAATTACTAAAAAATATTAAAAATTTTGAAAATTTGAGTTCCTGTACATTTTTGCCTATTATCTTTGTGGATTTCGTCAGATATCAGAACAGAAATTTTAATAATTAGAAGTCTGGATCTCTTTCCTCTTTCAAAAACAAGTTACTCTAGTTCAATTTACCAACTACTTTGAAAGTTATGGTCTGTTGAAAGTGATTACTTAAATTTTCTTAAAACTAAATAATTTCAAGCACTTGTATATATATGCCGATTTCTGTGATATTTCATCAGATATATTAACTCATCTGAATTTGATCTGATAGCTTAGACTCCCTTCTTTTAAAATCAAGTTATTTTAGTTCATTGTACCGACAACTTCGCATTGTATGGCCTTCAGAAAGTGAGTACCTACAATTACTTAAATTTTGATAATTTAAAGCACTCGTATTTATCCCGCGAAATCTCTGGTATTTTGTTAAGCTATACTAGCACAACTAGGTTCCATTTAAAGCATAGGCTGCCTTTTTTTAAATCCAATCAATAATGGTTCCATATACCGAGTACTTTTGAAGTTATGGTCGATATTAAGTGATTACTCAAAAATATTCAAAATTTTGAAAATTTAAGTACATGTATATTTTTGCCATTATCTTTATGGATTTAGTCAGATTTCGGAATGTAGCTATTAATTGTTTAAAACCTGAATCCCCATCTTTCAAAACCATGTTATTTGACTTCAATATACCGACTACTTCGAAAGTTATGGTCTGCTGAAAGTGATTACCCAAAAATATACAGAATTTAGAACATTCTAGTACATTTATATTTTTGGTATATTTGATGGCAATTTAATCAAATCTGCTTATTTAAAAATAACTTGCTTTAAATAAAATGTGTTGATAAAATGTCGAAGATATCGGAAAATATCAAACGAAATTGTTATTTCATGAAACAATATACCAACTACTTCGATAGTATATGATAACTGGTTTTGAAATTGGTTACTTTTAATTATTGGATTTTTTTCCGATATCCGACCAAATCCACAAAGATATCGGCAAAAATATAAATGTACTAGATATTTTGGATATTTTTGATGAGCAATGACCAAAACATTGGAAGTAATCGGTACAATGGACTTAAATAACTTGATTTTGAAAGATGAGAGTCTATGCTTGAAATCCAACCCAGACTTGTTTATATCTCCCACCAAATAACCAATATATCGGCAAATATAAAGAAGTGCTTGACATTTTATATTTTTATGAAAATGTAAGTAATCACTTTCAACAGACCATAACTATCGAAGTAGTTGGTATATTGTACTCAAATAACATTCGTTTGAAATATGGAGATTCACACTTTTATTTACTGCAAGTTATTTTGCGATATCTGACTAAATCCACAAAGATATCGGCAAAAATATAAATGTACTAGAATGTTCTAAATTCTGTATATTTTTGGGTAATCACTTTTCACCAAAACATTGGAAGTATTCGGTACAATGAACTAAAATAACTGGATTTTGAAAGAAGAGAGTTATGTTTTAAATAAGAATCAGATTTGTTTATATTGCCCATCAAATAACCAATATATCGGAAACTATAATTAAGGGATGGAAATATCCAGTTTTATGAAAATTTAAGTAACCAATTTCAACAGACCATAACTTTTGAAGTAGTTGGTATATTGTAGTCAAATAACATTCATTTGAAAGATTGAAATTCAGGTTTTAAACTAATAATAGCTATATTCTGATATCTGATAAAATCCATTCTTTCATAGTCAAGTTATTTTAGTTCATTATACCTACTATTTCGAATATTATGGTCAATAAAAAATGATTACTCAAAAATATTCAAAATTTTGAAATTTAAGTACGTGTATATTTTTTGCGTTATCGTTTTAAATTTAATCAGATATCTTAATTAAACTTTTATTATTTTGAAGTTTGGATCTCCCTCTTTTAAAAACAATTTATTTCAGTACAATATACCGATTTCTTCAAAAGTTATAGCCTGCAGAAAGTGATTACCTAAGTAATTTTATTCAAATATGACAATTTCATGGGCACTTGCATATATTCCTTGATATCTTAGTTATTTTTATAGATATATAAAAAAACTGGATTCGTTTAAATTAGATACCTTCTTCTTTCGAAATCACTTCAACTGGTTCAATGTACCGATTACTTCGAATGTTATGGTCTGGTGAAAGTGGTTACCTAAATGTATTCAAAATTTGACATTTTCAAGCACATTTATATATTTTGAATATCTTGGGTATTTGATGAGCTATTTAAACGCAACCTGATTTTATTTAAGGTATAGACTCTATTCTTTCATAAACCAGTTATTTTAGTTCCATATACCGACTACTTTCAAAGTTATGGTATGTCAAAAGTGATTACTCAAAAATATCAAAAATTTTAAAAAATTAATTTGAATCTATGCTTTAAAATTTTAAAAAATTAAAATTTTTGATTTCTTTAGCAATTAAAGAGAGATCGCAACAAAACTACCAATTAATTAAAAGAACGGAATCGCTTCTTTCAAAAATAAATTACTTTAGTTCAATATACCGATTACTTTTAAAGTTATGAACTGTTGAATGTGATTACCAAAAATTACTTAGAATTTGACAATTTCAGGCACTTGTATATATTCCATGATATCTTGGGTATTTCATCTGAATATATGAATACCGAGTAGTTCAAAAGTTATGGCCAATATAAAATGATTACTCAAAAATACCGAACATTTTAAAAATTTAAGTGGTTGTATATTTTTGCCCATATCTTTGAGGATTTGATCAGACATCCGATGAAAACTTTTAACATTGAAAAATTGTGAATCTCCTTCTGTCAAAAACAAGTTTTTTTAGAACAATATACGGATTACTTTGAAATGTATGGCCTATAGAAAGTGATTACTCAAAAATATCTAAATTTTAAATATTTTAAGTGAGTATATATTTTTGCCCATATCTTTGGGGATTTTGATTAGATATCCGAATAAATAAATGTAAAGAATATATTTTTTCGAAATGCTAATTTTTATTTATTTTTAAAGTTGTTTTTTCTATTCTTTATTACATCTCCCATGGACAATTGTACAGTTCCGCGGGTACACAACTACCCAGCTGGGCATTAAAATACCAATTATCAGCACAATTCATTACCTTAGCCATCGTTCCGAAACATTGATAATATTTACGGCAATCTCCCTCATACGGCAAACCTTGACCATATGGTACCGATGTACATTCAGGCATGGGTATAAAACCATTATCCTCTGTCTTACAGGTCTCCGATATTGGATCATATATGGAATTTGCCAAACATTCAGCTACCTCCGGTACGGGATATAAACATATGACATATTTGGTATTATTACCCGGATAGGGTAAAAGGGTACCGGTTTTGTGGCCACAACATATGTTGCCATTGTTTTCGGAAGGATTTGATTCGGTTGTGGTGGTAGAGGTGCTGGTGGTGGTGGTTGGTAGCTCGCTTGTGGTACTGCTGCTTGTGGTATGTAAATCTGTTGTGGTTGGCGATTCTGTTGTACTGGTTGATTGTTGATCCTCCCGACACTGTGTTGGCGAAGAGGTGTCACACTGCCCACTTGCGGGGTTATAATAGGTATTGGGCATACATGAAACCAATACTGGATTACCATTCAAACACATATAATATTTGGAACAATCCGCAGGATAGGTAATGGTGGATCCCGTGGGTAAATCTGCACAAATATTTGCTGGAGTAGTGGTGGTGCTGCTTGTGGTTGGTAATTCTGTTGTTGTTGTGGTTGGCAACAGTTCTGTAGTTGGTGGAGTTGGCAAACCCTCCCGACACTGTGTTGGTGAAGAGGTGTCGCACTCACCACTCGCGGGATTATAATACGTATTCGGCATACATGAAACCAATACCGCATTACCATTCAAACACATATAATATTTGGAACAATCCGCAGGATAGGTAATGGTGGAACCTGTGGGTAAATCTGCACAAATATTAGCTGGAGATGATGTTGTGTATTCAGTGGTAGTAGGGGTGTTGGTGGTGGAGGTATTGGTTATGGAGCTACTCGTAGTGGTTGTAGGAGTCTCTGTTGTGGTGGTTTTTATACTACAATTGGCATCTTCGGGTCTCACACATTCACCTAAGTCACTATTGAATTCTAGGCCTTCGGGACACTCCATTGCCACCGGTATGGGATCATGACATTCGATATATTTTCTGCAGTTATTCGGATAGGGTACTTTGCCACCATTCGCTACACCATAACAGGGTCCCATGTTGGGTTTTGGTGTAGTGGTAGTTGTGGTGGAGGTTGGCATTTCGGTGGTACTACCATAAAGGCATGACTGGGAATTACCTTCGGAACTACACATCCCTTTTAGGACATCAAAATATTGCCCCTTCGGACATCCACCTAAATATTCTGTATTATTATAACAAACAATGTACAGCGCACAATTTGGCTCATAGGGTAACAGGGTATCATTTGGTTCATGGCTACATCTATTGTTCGGTGGTGCGGTGGAAGTGGACGAGGTGGTTGGCATTTCGGTGGTAGTGGTGCTGGTACTAATAGGTAGGCATGACTGCGGATTACCTTCTGAACTACACATCCCTTTGAGGACATCAAAATATTGTCCCTTCGGACATCCACCTAAATATTCTGTATTATTATAACAAACAATGTACAGCGCACAATTTGGCTCATAGGGTAACAGGGTATCATCTGGTTCATGGCTACATTTATTGTTCGATGGTGTGGTGGAGGTAGTGGTCGAAGTGGTTGGCATTTCTGTGGTAGTGGAGGTTGACATTTTGGTGGTAGTGGTGCTGGTACTACTAGGTAGGCATGACTGCGGATTACCTTCTGAACTACACATCCCTTTTAGGACATCAAAATATTGTCCCTTCGGACACCCACCTAAAGTTTCGATATTATTAATACACATAATATACAGCGAACAATTCGGCTCATAGGGTAACAGGGTGTAATCTGGTTCATGGCTGCATTTATTGTTCGATGGTGTGGTGGAGGTAGTGGTCGAGGTGGTTGGCATTTCAGTGGTAGTGGAGGTTGGCATTTTGGTGGTAGTGGTGCTGGTAGTACTAGGTAGACATGACTGCGGATTACCTTGTGAACTACACATCCCTTTTAGGACATCAAAATATTGTCCCTTCGGACACCCACCTAAAGTTTCGATATTATTAATACACATAATATACAGCGAACAATTCGGCTCATAGGGTAACAGGGTGTAATCTGGTTCATGGCTGCATTTATTGTTCGATGGTGTGGTGGAGGTAGTGGTCGTAGTGGTTGACATTTCGATAGTGGTCGAAGTGGTTGGCACTTCGTTTGTAGTAGTGGTGGAGGTTGTCATTTCAGTGGTCGTAGTGCTCGAACTGTCGTAACGACATGACTGTGAATTGGCCTGTGAACTACACATCCCTTTGACGACATCAAAATATTGTCCCTTCGGACACACAGCTATATTTTCCTCGTTATCAATACAAATAATGAACTGCGAACAATCGGACTCATAGGGCAAAATTGTATAATCTGGTTCATGGCTACATTTATTATCCGTTGGCGTGGTAGATTGTTGTGATTCCGTTGTGGTGGTAGTAGTTAGCCCACCACAATCCGATTGCCAAGGTTCTACACACGTTTGGGCCTCAGAACTAAATTCCAAACCTGCTGGACAATAATATCCCGTGGGTATCGGCTGATTGCAAACAATAAATTTCGAACAATCATTGGGGTAGGGTATCTTATAGCCATTGGGTTTCTCCCAGCAGATACCATGTTGGGGTTTGGGAGGACTTGCTGTTGTGGTGGTCGTCGTCGTGGTGGTATCAAAATTTCCCTTACAATAATTTGGACCCACTTGGCTGGAACATTGCTGTGTCAAAGGGTTGTAATATTCACCCTGATTGCAGACCTGCAGCATATAGTTACCATTACCCAGACATTCGTAGTACATTTGGCAATCGAGAGGATAAACTTGATGGGTACCCTCCTCAGCATTCTGACAAATGTCACTAGGTGGTGCTGCCGTTGTGGTTTCATTCGAGGACCCTTGCGAACATTCTCCATCACCCTCAGCGGAACATTTCTGTTGCTCCAAATTGAAATATAAATTACCCGGACAATAGAAGCCAATGGGTATGGGTCGAACACAGCTAATGTATTTGTGGCAATTGTCAGGATATTCTATGAGCTCACCATTTGTATAGTTGCCACAGATATTTTCCTCTGCAGGACCAGGAGTAGGGGCTGCAGTGGTGGTTGTTGTTGGCCTGGAGTTGGTGGTACTTGTTGTCGTAGATGTGGTGCTTGGTTTTGATGTGGTCGTTGTCGTTTCACCCTTACGGCAAATATCCACATCATTACTGGGCCCACAATTACCCGTATCCGGATAATAATAATTATTACCCGGACATTTCATAATCTTATAGCCTCCATTATTGGTACACATGATATACTCCTGACAATTTGCCTCATACGGGAAGGTAGTACCAAATTCCTGCCCTGCACACATCTGCTCCGGGCTTAAGGTAGTGGGTGCCGGAGTTGTGGTAGTAGTGGTTGTCGTAGTTTCTTGGCAAGCCGTTGGCGATACATCCGGACCACAATTACCCGATATCGGATCATAATAATTATTATTAGGACAGGGCAGCACATAATAGGTACCATTGCCCCGACAATAGTAATATTGTTTACAATCCTGAGGATAGGGGAAACTTGTACCCGATGGCTGATCCAAACATAAATCTAAAATCGGTGCAGAAGTTGTGGTAGTGGTGGTGCTGCTGCTACTAGCCTCTGTGGTTGTTGTGGCCGGTCCCGTATAGCATACCTGCTCTCCCGCATCATCGCACATTTTCAATTGGGCATTGAATAGCCAGCCGTTGGGACAGTTCATCAGCTCCACTTCACCCTGCATGCACATCAAATATTGTCGACAATTTTCCGCATAGGGGACGAGGGTGTAATCGGCATGATCATGGCACATACCTTCAGGTATTCCGGGTGGCAAGGTGGGGGTGAATTGGGGTAGAGTTGTTGTGCTAGTTGTTGTGGTTGGTGTTGGTTCTTCGGTCGTTTGCCCAGGGGTTCCCGGAGTGGGATAGGGTTCTTCCGTACATTCCGCAGTATTGGCATCATCACAAATCCCCAAGAGGCTATTGAATACCTTATTTTTCTCACAATATTCCAAATGGGGGCAATCATTTCGACAGCTGATATAGGCGGAACAGTTGTAGGGGTAACTTAGCACAGAACCCTTTTCAAAGCCATCACAATAGTTTTCCGGAATATCGGAAGGGTATACACAAATTTCGGTTGTAGTGGAGGTTATATCGGTGGTAGTGGTCAGCTCAGTTGTTCTTGTGGTTGTCGTAGGAATGGGTGTGGTGGTTGAGGGCATTGGCAGTTCGACACACTGGGCCGTCTCAGGGGTATCACAAATTTTTAACCATTGATTAAATACCTTATCCACCGGACAATATGTCATGACCGGACAACCCATGGTACAATTTAAATAGGCATTACAATTGTAAGGATAACGCAACAAATAGCCATTGCCATAGTCTAGACAAAGATCAGAGGTCATACCGGGAGGAGTTTCACAATTTACACCCCATTCGTTATCTGGGCTTGGGGTAGATGTTGTCGAACTAGGTGTTGTACTGCTTCCGCCACTCCACGGACAATTAACATTTTGCGGATAATTACACGTCTTCAATGAATTATCCCACCAGGTACCACCCGGACAATCCTTTACCGTGGGATATTCACACATACAGACTAAAAATTTGGAACAATTGCCAGGATATGGTACCTGTGCTCCGTAGGGTTGGCCAGCACAGGCAGCCTTATTTTCAGGTCGCTCTTCATTATCACATGTGGCCTTTGTAGTCAACGTCAGTTCGAATTCCATGACATCCTGGGTCGATGTGGTTGCCAGGCAAAGTGATAACACAAGCAGGAGGGGAAATGAGAAAAATTCTGAAAAGAAGATAAAAATAAAGTGAGGTGAGGATTTAAAAAAATGTTTTTTGAAGTTTCGGAAAAATCGGTTCAGATTTCGATATAGCTCCCACATATATTTTTGTCTTTCGATTTGCAAAGTCCCTATATATCGTTCGATTTGCATGAAATTTGGCACAGCAAACCGAATTGAGTCTAGAATGATGAGTGGCGAGTTTCGAAAAATCGGTTCAGATTTAAATATAGCTCCCATCTATATTTTCGTCCGATTTAAGGTAAATGATGCACCAAAGTCCCTATATATCATTCGATTTGCACGAAATTTTGCATAGTATACTGAATTTTGTCTAGAATGATGTGTGGAAAATTTTCAAGGAAATCGGATCAGAGTTAGATATAGCTCCCACTTATATTTTCGTCCGATTTAAGGAAAATGGTGTATCAAAGTCCTTAAATATTTTTCGATTTGCACGAAATTCGGCACATCATACTGAATTGAGCCTAGAAAGATGTGTGTGTTAAATTTTGTGAAAATCGGTTCAGATTTCGATATAGCTCCCGTATATAGTTTCGTCCGATTTAAGGTAAGTGGGGCACCAAAGTCCCTATATATCTTTCGATTTGCATGAAATTTGGAATAGAGTTCTGAACTAGGTCCAGAATGATGTGTGATAAGTTTCGTAAAAATCGGTTCAGATTTAGATATAGCTCCCATATATAGTTTTGTCCGATTTAATGTAAATGGTGCACCGAAGTCCATATATATCTTTCGATATGCACGAAATTCGGCACAGCATATTGAATTGAGTGTAGAATGATTAGTGGTGAGTTTTGGGAAAATCTGTTCAGATTTCGATATAGCTCCCATATATATTTACGTCCGATTTTAGGTAAATGGTGCACCGAAGTCCATATATATCTTTCGATTTGCACGAAATTTGGCTTAGCGTATTGAATTGAATCTAGAATGATGTCTGCTAAGTTTCGTAAAAATCGGATCAGACTTAGATATAGCTCCTATATATATTATCGTCCGATTTAAGGTAAATGGTGCACCAACGTCGCTATTAATCCTTCGACTTGCACGAAATTTGGTGTAGGGTACTGAATTGTGTGTAGAATGGTGTGTGCTAAGTTTCGTGAAAATCGGTTTAGATTTGGATATAGCTCCCATATATATTTTCGTCCGATTTCGGGTAAATGGGTCACCAACGTCCCTTTAAATCGTTCGATTTGCACGAAATTTGGTGTAGGGTACTGAATTGTGTGTAGAATGATGTGTGCTAAGTTTCGCAAAAATCGGTTCAGATATAGATCCCATATATAGTTTTGTCCGATTTAATGTAAATGGTGCACCGAAGTCCCTATATATCGTTCGACTTGCACGAAATTTGTCACAGCATACTGAATTGAGTCTAGAATGATGAGTGGTAAGTTTCGGGAAAATCGGTTCAGATTTCGATATAGCTCCCATATATATTTACGTCCGATTTTAGGTAAATGGTGCACCGAAGTCCATATATATCTTTCGATTTGCACGAAATTTGGCTTAGCATTGAATTGAATCTGAATGATGAGTGGCAAGATTCGAGTCTAGATATAGCTCCTATGTATCCGATTTAAGGTAAATGGTGCACCAACGTCGCTATTAATCCTTCGACTTGCACGAAATTTGGTGTAGGGTACTGAATTGTGTGTAGAATGATGTGTGCTAAGTTTCGGGAAAATCTGTTCAGATTTCGATATAGCTCCCATATATATTTACGTCCGATTTTAGGTAAATGGGGCACCAAAGTCCCTATATATTTTTCGATTCGCATGAAATTTGGCACAGAGTTCTGAATTTCGATGTGTGCCACGAAATTTGGCATATATATTTACGCGATTTTATGAATTGCACCAAAGTCCCTATATAAGATTTGCATGTAGAATAATGTGTGGTAAGTTTCAGAAAAATCGATTCACATTCCGATATAGCTCCCGCATATACATATATATTCGCCCGATTTCACATAAATGCTGCACCATACTCCTAATGTTTGTCCGAGTAACACGATATTTTGCACAACGTATCAAATTGAAGTGCAGATGCAGCCATAGCTTCCATATATGTATATTTCGAACAGGTGTCTGATAGAAAATTCAATTTTTAACAGTGCGGCGTACCGAATAGCGTATATCAATATTGCTGTAAATTGTTTTCCATAAATTAAATGTATCATAGGTTGCAGAAAGACATGAGTATGTTGCTTCGAGGGATAAGGGTACATATGTAAAATATACCCAAAGTTGTGAAGGTTAGCATATAGTCGGCCCAGTCCGACTTTACTACATTCCTTACTGGTTTACTTTTACTTAATATAAATATTTTTAATTCCACTTTTTTCTATTTTATTTTTAATTTTTTTACCTTTTGGTAACATTTTTATTTTTTTAAATTTTTTTTAGAATAAATTTCTCATGTTCTATTTTTAGAAACACTTTTCGTCAATTTTTTGTTTGTTATGTATTTATTTTTTTTTTCTAATATTTTGACCACCGATCGTTTTCAAGTTTCGTTAGAGACTAAATTGCAATCATAAAACTTTCATTTAATAAACATTCGAAAGGGGGAAAACAGACGAATTATTTTGTCTCAAAGGATTTATTGTTATTAATTGTTTATCATCATTTAGTTGTTAGATTACCGACCACATACACGGTAGCGGAACAAGTTGAGCGATAAGAATTTTGAACTAATTTTCGCCAAACATTGTTTTGTGGTCAGCAATGGGTTGGATCGATTGTGCAGAACATGTATTAGAACATCTATGATAAAAATAAAATGGAAAAAAATTCAGCTTGAGCCCGGCTGGGATTTGAACCCTGGTTTCCATGGCATCTGTTGGTGTCCGGCGCCTTAGCGTTCAAAGCCACCTCCTTATCTTCCTAAGGTTGCACAATATGCAGTTGCATACCATTGAAGAAAAATATTGTAGTCTGTATGGAAAAAAGTCCGTCACTACAAAAAAATCTGCTCGGAAAAGGAATGTTCTGGTGTGATGCCAAATGTCCGAACCTTGACACGGTTGAATTTAATTCGTAGATGCAATTTCGCAACAATTGTCGACATAAATACAACTTATCAAGTAAAGACATTTGTAAGCCACATTGCCCAATATGCCTGATGAGCCGCTTAACCAACGGCGAAACGCGTCGCATAGTGGTGGGAATGGTGTATCAATCTGGCTTTAGCTTTTCATTGCAACTCCGGTCATGTAGCTCATCTCGAAGGAGAAATTAATAAAAAAAAAACATTTACATGAATGATCTTCGCCCTAAAAAGGCATAAAAACAAAAACTCAAGGAAACATTTAATATTTTGTTATTTTTTTCTATTTTTAATTAAAAAGATATGTAGGAAGTGTCTTCCCAGGGGATAAGGGCTTAGATTCGGAGAAAAATTTAAGAAGTTTTTCTGCAGATAATAATTATCACCCACATATTAACCTTACATAGTACAAGTGTTGCTTAGCAGTCTTCTGTATAAGTTTAATCATATTAATCTAACTCAAACATGCCACATGTTGCAATAAAAAATCGATATCACATTTTATTGTAATAACCTCCAATCAGAGGAATTTATCTTAAATGGATGGTATAGTAAAGTATAGATCCCTGTTTAACTAAATTTTCTCTCCTTTCTTACATAAGAAACTCACTGCAAGACATTTTTCTCTTCCTCTCTCTCTCTCTCATCCGCGGAATATAACATTTACCCGTAAATTTTATATCAGGTTGAAGATTTGAATTCTAAAAGTCTTCCCCTACACCATAACATGGTCCCATGTTGGGTTTTGGTGTAGTGGTAGAGGTAGTGGTCGAGGTGTTTGGCTTTTCAGTGGTAGTTGGCATTTCGGTAGTGGTCGAAGTGGTTGGCATTTCGGTGGTAGTAGTTGTGGAGGTTGGCATTTCAGTGGTGGTAGTGCTTGAACTGTCATAATGACATGACTGCGAATTGGCCGGTGAACTACACATCCCTTTGACGGCATCAAAATATTGTCCATTCGGGCATTCAGCTATATTTTCCTTGTTATCAATGCAAATAATGAACTGCGAACAATCAGCCTTATAGGGCAAAATGGTATAATCTGGTTCATGGCTACATTTATTATCCGATTGTGTGGTAGATTGTTGTGATTCCGTTGTAGTGGTAGTAGTTAGCCCACCACAATCCGATTGCCAAGGTTCTACACACGCTTGGGCCTCAGAACTAAATTCCAAACCTGCTGGACAATAATATCCCGTGGGTATTGGCTGATAAGAAACTCTCTTTCTCTCATCCGCGGAATATAACATTTAACCGTAAATTTTATATCAGGTTGAAGATTTGAATTCTAAAAGTCTTCCGACCTCTTAATTAAATTTAACCCCAATATATAGCATTTCCAGATTAAATGAAACATTTTCCAAATTAAATGAAACCTTTTCCAAATTAAAAGTTATGTGCTGTAGAAAGTGATTACCTAAAATTATTTTAAGTTTTTAGGATTTCTGGCACTTGTATATATTCCAGGATATATAGGGTATTTTGATGGGATATGTGAATACAACTGGATTATATTTAAAGTAGATATCTTCCTCTTTCACTATCAACTTCAACTGGTTCAATATACCGAGTAGTTCGAAAGTTATGGTCAACATAAAATGATTACTTAAAAATACCCGAAATTTTGAAAATTTAGGCATATGTAAAGTTTTGCCGAATTTTTTGGTAATTAGAGAGATATCGATATAAAACTGACTAATAATTAAAAGTGAGGATTACCTTTTTTCAAAAATAAAATACTTTAGTTTAATATACCGACTACTTCAGAAGTTATGATCTGTTGAAAGTGATTACCAAAAATTACTTAGAATTTGACAGTTTCAGGCACTTGTATATATTCCACGATATCTTGGGTATATGTTGAGCTATATGAACACAATGGGATTTAATTGAAATTAGAGATCTTCCTCTTGTAATGCCAAGTTCAACGGGTTCAATATACCGAGTAGTTCAAAAGATATGGCCAATATAAAATGATTACTCAAAAATACCGAACATTTTAAAAATGTAAGTGGTTGTATATTTTTGCCCATATCTTTGGGTTTTTGATCAGATATCCGATGAAAACTTTTAACAGTGAAAAATTGTGAATCTCCTTCTTTCAAAAACAAAAATTTTTAGAACAATATACCGATTACTTTGAAATGTATGGCCTATAGAAAGTGATTACTCAAAAATATCTAATTTTTTGCTAGTTTAAGTGCGTATATATTTTTACCGATATCTTTGGGGATTTTGATCAGATATCCGAATAAAACATTGGGTAATGTAAAGTATGATTTTTTCGATATGCTAATTTTTATTTATTTTTAAAGTTTTTTTTCTATTCTTTATTACATCTTCCATGGACAATCGTACAGTTCCGCGGGTACACAACTACCCAGCTGGGCATTAAAATACCAATTATCAGCACAATTCATTACCTTAGCCATCGTTCCGAAACATTGATAATATTTGCGGCAATCTCCCTCATACGGCAAACCTTGACCATATGGTACCGATGTACATTCAGGCATGGGTATAAAACCATTATCATCTGTCTTACAGGTCTCCGATATTGGATCATATATGGAATTTGCCAAACATTCAGCTACCTCCGGTACGGGATATAAACATATGACATATTTGGTATTATTACCCGGATAGGGTAGTAGAGTACCGGTTTTATGACCACAACATATGTTGCCATTGTTTTCGGGGGGATTTGATTCGGTTGTGGTGGTGGTTGGTAGTTCGCTTGTGGTACTGCTGCTTGTGGTTGGTAATTCTGTTGTTGGTGGCAATTCTGTTGTACTGGTTGATTGTTGATCCTCTCGACACTGTGTTGGCGAAGAGGTGTCACACTCACCACTCGCGGGATTATAATAGGTATTGGGCATACATGAAACCAATACAGGATAACCATTCAAACACATATAATATTTGGAACAATCTGCGGGATAGCTAATGGTGGATCCTGTGGGTAAATCTGCACAAATATTTGCTGGAGTAGTGGTGGTGGTGCTGGCTGTAGTGGTTGGTAGTTCCGTTGTGGTGGTGCTGCTGCTTGTGGTTGGTAATTCCGTTGTTGTGGTTGGCAGCAGTTCTGTAGTTGGTGGGGTTGGCAAACCCTCCTGACACTGTGTTGGCGAAGAGGTGTCACACTGACCACTCGTGGGATTATAATACGTATTTGGCATACATGAAACCAATACCGGATTACCATTCAAACACATATAATATTTGGAACAATCTGCGGGATAGGTAATGGTGGATCCTGTGGGTAAATGTGCACAAATATTTTCTGGACTAGTGGTGGTGCTGCTAGTAGTGGTTGGCAATTCGCTTGTGGTTGGTAATTCTGTTGTTGTTGTGGTTGGCAACAGTTCTGTAGTTGGTGGAGTTGGTAAACCCTCCCGACATTGTGTTGGCGAAGAGGTGTCACACTCACCACTCGCGGGATTATAATACGTATTCGGCATACATGAAACCAATACCGGATTGCCATTCAAACACATATAATATTTGGAACAATCTGCAGGGTATGTAATTGTGGATCCAGTGGGTAAATTGGCACACTCATTTGCTGGAGATGATGTTGTGGATTCAGTGGTGGTATGGGTGCTGGTTGTGGAACTACTGGTAGTGGTTGTAGGAGTCTCTGTTGTGGTGGTTTTTATGCTACAGTTGGCAATTTCAGGTGTCACACATTCGCCTAAGTCACTATTGAATTCCAGACCTTCGGGACACTCCATTGCCACCGGTATGGGATCGTGACATTCAATATATTTGCTGCAGTTATTCGGATAGGGTACTTTGCCACCATCCGCTACACCATAACATGGTCCCATGTTGGGTTTTGGTGTAGTGGTAATTGTGGTGGAGGTGGTTGGCATTTCGGTGGTACTACCATAAAGGCATGACTGGGAATCACCTTCTGAACTACACATCCCTTTGACGACATCAAAATATTGTCCCTTCGGACATACAGCTATATTTTCCTCGTTATCAATACAAATAATGAACTGCGAACAATCGGACTCATAGGGAAAAATGGTATAATCTGGTTCATGGCTACACCTATTGTTCGATGGTGTGGTAGAGGTAGTGGTTGAGGTGGTTGGCTTTTCAGTGGTAGTTGGCAATTCGGTAGTGGTCGAGGTGGTGGTTGGCACTTCGGTGGTAGTAGTGGTGGAGGTTGGCATTTCCGTGGTGGTAGTGCTTGAACTGTCATAATGACATGACTGCGAATTTGCCTGTGAACTACACATGCCTTTGACGGCATCAAAATATTGTCCATTCGGGCATTCAGCTATATTTTCCTTGTTATCAATACAAATAATGAACTGCGAACAATCAGCCTCATAGGGCAAAATTGTATAATCTGGTTCATGGCTACATTTATTATCCGATGGTGTGGTAGATTGTTGTGATTCCGTTGTAGTGGTAGTAGTTAGCCCACCACAATCCGATTGCCAAGGTTCCACACACGTTTGGGCCTCGGAACTAAATTCCAAACCTGCTGGACAATAATATCCCGTGGGTATCGGCTGATTGCAAACAATAAATTTCGAACAGTCATTGGGGTAGGGTATCTTATAGCCATTGGGTTTCTCCCAGCAGATACCATGTTGGGGTTTGGGAGGACTTGGTGTTGTGGTGGTGGTCGTCGTAGTCGTGGTGGTATCAAAATCTCCCTTACAATAATTTGCATCCACTTGACTGGAACATTGCTGTGTCAAAGGGTTGTAATATTCACCCTGATTGCAAACCTGCAGCATATAGTTGCCATTACCCAGGCACTCATAGTACATTTGGCAATCGAGAGGATAAACTTGATGTGTACCCTCCTCGGCATTCTGACAAATGTCACTAGGTGGTGCTGCCGTTGTGGTTACATTCGAGGGCCCTTGCGAACAATCACCCCCACCCTCAGCGGAACATTTTTGTTGCTCCAAATTGAAATATAGATTACCCGGACAATAGAAGCCAATGGGTATGGGTCGAACACAGCTAATATATTTGTGGCAATTGTCAGGATATTCAATGAGCTCACCATTTGTATAGTTGCCACAGATATTTTCCTCTGCGGGACCAGGAGTAGGGGCTGCGGTGGTGGTTGTTGTTGTTGGCCTGGAGGTGGTGGTACTACTGGTTGTAGATATGGTGGTAGGTTTGGTTGTAGTCGTGGTCGTTCCGGTTTTGCGGCAAATATCCACATCATCACTGGGACCACAATTACCCGAATCCGGATAATAATAATTATTGCCCGGACATTTCATAATTTTATAGCCTCCATTATTCGTACACATAATATATTCCTGACAATTCGCCTCATAAGGGAAGGTAGTTCCGAATTCCTGCCCTACACACTTCTGTTCCGGGCTTAAGGTAGTGGGTGCAGGAGTTGTCGTCGTAGTGGTTGTCGTGGTTTCCTGACAGGCCGTTGGCGATACATCCGGACCACAATTACCCGATATCGGATCATAATAATTATTATTGGGACAGTGCAGTATATAATAGGTACCATTGCCACGACAATAGTAATATTGTTTACAATCCTGAGGATAGGGAAAACTTGCACCCGATGGCTGGTCCAAACATAAATCTAAAATCGGTGCAGAAGTTGTGGTGGTGGTGCTGC